CTTTTCGTCTCGGAGCATGCCTAATCATTGATGATAATCTTGATGAAAAACGTACTAATTATATTTGTGATGTTGATATCTAGGAAAATTATATGTGTACCTCTATTTATTACCTGTTTGTGTGTCAGGCTGCGTGTGTCATTTTATATGTAGTCATAAACTGAATGGATTACCCATGCAGATAAAAAAAGGCGTTCGACGAGTGCGGAGCGTACTCGAAATAGGCCCTCGGCGAGGGCTCGAACCTTCGGACCCTCGATACAATCGTTCGAGGGGTATTGATTTCGAGCCCTCGGATTTCAGATAGGTAGCGAGCCCTCGAGAAAAATGTTGAGCCGTCGAACAGAGTTGTTCGAGACTTCCGAGCCTCACTCGGCGGTTCAGAAGTTTTTTTCTCGTTACAGTATGTCACAAAAGTATCCATCTACCTCTATAGTATCACTTTATTTATATTTTACACATTGTCTAGAAAAATACACACTTTTGGATGCCGAGGGAACGTTTATAAAAGATCTACACACTTGTTTATTATGTGCAGTCTTATTTCGGACATGTACTTAAGTCCGAACATCAATCGTGTTTTCGCAGAAGATTTTTTCTACTCTTTTCAGTCTACAAAGCATGTATTTGGCATTTCTAACATAAAGCGCATTTGATTTGGGCCAGCTAATAATATCAATTTTAATACATTGATAGCACATTAGGATATAGTGCTTGTAAGACCGATAACAGATCATTTTGAATTGCATCGTAAATATTTTTGAACAACTTCGCAAGAGCATCTACATTAGTTTTACATTGTGAATGTAGAAGCAGCTGATTTCCTGAAGTATCATAAACCGTTCTTGTTCCAAAAATATTACAAATTTCTGTAAGATAAGCTTTAAACCTAGAAAGCGTTACGCTCATGTACAAAAGTGTATCTATATGGACGTATTCGCTTTAGCCAAGCGCTTTAACGCGTTGAAATTATCCCTAACAGGTAGAACTTGAAACTACTAAATTTTGTTAATGGCAGGACTTTGACAATAAAAGTTTCTGTTTTATAATTATTTGCTTATAATATAACGTCTAAAGTCTTATTGATTGTGTAGTTTTAACTGTGTTAAGTTTTAATATTATAACTCTGATGATGAATCGGTGATTCGAAAGCTCAGAATAAAAATCCATTATTAAATAAAATAAAATAAGAAATGAATTTAGTTGCAAATAATTATAAATAAGAGCTTTAAAGGACTTTTGCATGATCTTGTAAGTAAGCAATAAGTATCATAAGAACACACCACCCTAGTGAATGTACTCAAGTGTGAGTACTCAAAGTCGTACTCATGACTACTCACACACCTTTTTACTCACTGAGTACTCACATGAGTACTCAGAAGTGAGTAACAAGTACTGTGGGCATGACTTTGGCTACTCATGCTTGCGTATTGTTGAGTATTCATACAACTTTTGACAAAATACTCATGAGTATTGTTCATCTGATATTTTCATATAGAGGACTGATCTCAGTCAGCCAGAGTAGGACTACAAGTCTAGTCGTAGTCGAGTCCATCCCTGACGTATATACAGAGAGACCAGTGAGGAGATAATACTATAAACATTCTATGTTTATTCACTATATTCTACGTTCTTTATGCAGTTTCAGTTTAGTAAAATAAAACGGTGAATGAATATTTTCTGAGTACCCACTGAATTACAATAATCAAAAATTGTTAGTAGTTGTAATATGAGTACTCATAGAAGAATTATGAGTAAAGTCGTACTCATCGTATGAGTACTTTCACTAGGGCATCGAGTCTGGCCTGTCGAAGGATTATATGCAGAGCACTTTTTTCTATCGTATCATATCAGGGCCGTAGCCAGGAGGGGACCGGTCACCCCATGATTTTTTTCACGGAATCCTGGTAGAAAAAGTTTCTGGTTAATAAGACTTCACACTATCTCTGAAGGCAAAAAAATCGATCCCCCTTCGCAAAAGTTCTGGTTACGGGCCTGTATCATATCAAAAACTTACATAGAAATTGAGACAGGTCTATGAAAATGACTGAACTCTGTATTCTCTTCAGACATGTGCTTTGTCAGAGAGGACAGTGATGCATGGTGTACTTCTTTCGTTATTGTTATTCTATATACAGAAATACACTTTATGAAGAAAAGAATTACTTGCTGAAATACAAGATCAAGATTAATACAAACACAAGTGACCAAGACAATCGGTGAAAAAATCTTTATAACAAAATCTCGGTGATAACAGTACTAAACATACTGCCAAAGTTCAGTGCTTTTCTCTTTTTTAACTAAAAGTGAATAAATATTTTGTTGCTCTCACCTTTCACTGCTTCACTAAGCGCTTCTTTAAAATCACTAATATGGAACGATTTTCCAATTAATTTATTAACTTCTAATGAATTATCTAATATCCATTGCATAGCTTGATCAAAATCATTATAATAAGATAAACATTTTATATTAATATCTTTTAGCACAAGGTCATTAATAATTATTTCTGTGGGTGTAAACTTTCTACTCTTCAAAATCAACAGACCGTTTGGTTTCAAAATTTGAATTAGCTTTTTAAATATCTTTTCATCTATCTGACTTTCAATAATAAAATCATAATAATTGTCATGTAGACTATCTTCATCATCATCACCAATAATTTTTATATTTTTATAACCAAAGGTGTTCAGTACTGTATGTGTCAATTGAGCAATTCTGTTATTACCATAAATAATTCCATTTGAATCTTTCTCTAAATTAGCCTTTAATATGGCCATTACAGATGCTACTGGTTCCACATACGCTGTTTGCTCACAGGTAAGGTTTGGTTTAGACAAAACAATGTACTCATTATTAACAACTATAAATTCACTTAAGCATCCGTTTAAAGTAACACCCATAAACTTTCCATCTTGATATGGATTAACTGAAACTAATTGGTTTTCTTTGAATTTAACAGATGTTGTTCTTACGATGGTACCAGAACATTCATGACCTAACACAACTGGCTTAAATATAGGAATAATACCATTAGCCACATATAAATCTGTTCTACATAAACCAACAGCTGAAATTTTGATTATCGTTTGGTTATTACCTAGAACAGGATACGGTATTTCAGTTAAAA